TAATTCCAACCTCAAAATATTGCTGATCTAGTTTGCTTAGGTGTGTGACCCTGTAGGATCATATAAAATTAGTAATGAATTCTCAATCCATAGATTATAAGCGGTTTCTAGCAAAACATTATAACCACCTAATTTTATACGATTCTCGACGTTACGACTTTATAGAGTAAGTACAAATGATTTTAGGACATTCCCAACATACACCACCTAAACGCTTTTCTTTAGAATTCAAGAAACATAAATCACACCACTAACTAATGTTTCTCGATCCCGGGGTTTTAAATGTCAGATTTTGTATTTGAACAAACCAAGATCAATTAGTTTACTTACACTTTTTACTTAAAACACACAATTTCTTGTCTATTTCAGATTTTGATTCCCAGATAAGAAGATGAATATGTTCTCCACAAGATGGTTTTCTGAGCAGGTATACATACGAACACTAATATGTATATATATATATATATGTGTGTGTGTATATCTATCTATTTATCTAAAAATATTTGTGGTCATCTATTAAATCACCATATTATTATGTGTTGTTGTGATGATATAGGAATTAGAAGAAGATAGCATCATTCAACAATATCAGATTAACTCAGTGGGAGAGATCCATGAAGGTCAACACACTCTTCCACGCTCTTTCGCAACTCCTATGACCCCCATCAATGATCCTTCTTATGATGATTTGATCGAAGTGAAACCATCAAAGATCCTGAAGACAGCTTACATATCACCAAAATTTCCACCACCACCCTCTTTTCCTCTTCCTCCTTATTCAAAGACTCATCTCCATCATCAGCCTTCCTCAAGACTTCTTTCTTTCGAGAATGCATCTCCAAATGTTATGGACCATGAGTACCCTCCCACCTATCTAAACTCAATCTTTAATCCCAAAGTTGAGGATGAAGTCCCGCCAAACCGGATGAATGAGCCGAATAATCGAAAAGGGATCAAGAGAGCTCAACCTTTGTACAGAAACCAATCCAATTCGCAAGATCACATAATCGCCGAAAGAAAACGTAGAGAGAAACTTACTCAACGATTTGTAGCTCTTTCTGCTCTAGTTCCTGGCTTGAAAAAGGTACTACACATCAAAACTCCCTTCTTAGATTATCCAAAAGGGCATTATTGTTAATTTTAAAAAAAAATATGTGTATAGATGGACAAGGCTTCTGTGTTGGGAGATGCATTAAAGCATATAAAGTTTTTACAAGAAAGAGTAAAGGAGTTTGAGGAACAAAAGAGAGAAAGAAGGTTAGAATCAGTGGTTCTTGTGAAGAAGTCTAAGCTGATTTTGGACGATAATAATCAATCATCTGCGTCGTCGTGTTGTGAAGATGGCTCCTCCGGGTTAGATCTTCCCGAGATCGAAGTAAGATTCTCAGATAAAGATGTTCTAATCAAGATCCTTTGCGAGAAGCAAAAGGGCCATGTTACCAAGATTATGGCCGAGATTGAGAAACTTCATTTCTCAATAACCAACTCAAATGTTTTGCCCTTTGGACCAACACTTGATATCACCATTATAGCTAAGGTATGCATATATATATATATAGTCGGGCACAAACATAAATAAACCAAGAACTTGCTCTTAGTCTTAGAGTAACACGCTTAGTGTAAATGTATTTTTTGCAGAAGGAGAGTGATTTCGACATGACACTCATGGATGTCGTAAAGAGCTTGAGGTCTGCTTTATCAAATGTCTTGTGATTTGTTTCAAATTTCACGCTAAAGGTCGATTTCTTTGGGATACTTATTTTTACATATTGAAGCATCTTAAGTAGTTTTTACCATGAAATTTTTCATTTTTATTGATAAGTTTGATTGGAATAGTTGAAGAATCATTCCTTTCATACGTATCGATATCAATTAGACAATTTTCATGGTTTGGGGTCGAAATTTCTCCCCGGCTTTCCCACTCCTTTTTATTTTGTTATCTGAAATTATAAAGATGTAAAGCACTTTCATTTGTCTTTTTCAGTTTGAGACAAGGTTGGATTTTTCTTTGACATCTATCTTTCATGTTGTATATGTTTCCTCCTGTGTATTGCGTCTTTTTAATTGTAGACCAAATTACTTAAGCGTGTGATAATATTTTGTGATGTATCGGCGGTCTCGAAACATACATACTATCTGTAGTATTTATATTTTTCTTCTATAACTTTTGGGGAAATAATCTTTTCTTCTGTTTTGTTATTTTATGAAAGCTATAAAGTATAACGCGGCAAGATAATAATATTTGTTTGTTCAAGTCAACTTTGATGGATAAAGATTAAAGTAGCTATCAAGCATCGAATATTTTGTTTGCGGAATCCTCTGTGTATTTTATTTGATTATTATGTAATAAAATGAGAAATAGGAGGAAGAAAAAACTATAAAATAAAATAGGGCATCGTTTAAAAACTCATGAAGCGTCAAGATTAATTCACTCATCATGCTGATGAGAAGAATTCATACATGTTTCAGAATATAATAATATTGGCATGTGTTCTGAGGAAATATATAGAATACAATATTTAAGTTGATTCAATACGGTTTAGTATTGATTTCAAATTTTGAAATATTTTGAAAATTGGGTTATATATCATCTCAACCGGATAATGAAGACAAGGAATGCGATAGGACGACCAAGTCTTTTCTTCCGTGTTAGGACAAACGAACAAGAGGATACCACTAACAAATTAGGAAGAGATCATGGATTAGGAATGTGGATAACCTCTTTCTTTCAGTTATTTTTATTCAATATTTTAAATATCTGTTACATTTGTTTTTTTTTTGTATAAAAAACGTTTTGAATATGTAACACCAAATGAGAAATAATAGTTTAGTATTTTGATGTAATCACCTAATAGTATACCCATTCATGATACGATAAGGGATCCAACTTAAGGGACCTGCAATAAATATGGTCTATAGATTATATATAATCTCCAATAAAAATAAAATATTCATATATAATTTTTTATATAATATATTTGTTGTGAGTTACAAAAATATATGTTAACATTTTTTGTATAAAAAAATTATATGATTTAAAAACTTTAATATGTTTTAAAAGTGAGTGATATTTATTTATTTATTAGAATAAAAGAAAATTTTAAAAATAAAATAATTTTCTTTACCAATTTAATATACTTTATATTCATTTCACATAGCATTTTATTTTAATATAATATATAATATAACTAAATTATAAAATATAACAATTTTTATTTTTAATAAACATTAATATAGATATTTATATATATATATATATATATATTAATCACAAAATTAAATAATGCATATTTTATAAAAATATTAACTTTTTAGTAAGATCTTGTTAGATATTGTCTCAACAAATTTATTACTAATATCTTATTAATTATTAAAATATTCTTCTAATTATATATATTTGATTAATTAATATAAATAATTAAATATGTCATATTAATTAGATGGTTCAACATGATTTTTTGTAGTAGATAAAAAGTATTTCTGTTTTAATAGTATTGATATATATGTTACTAAAATTTTATGTAGTAAAATAATTCTATAAGTTCAAGAAGAATAGAAGCAAGAAATTAAGTTTTCCTTAATATGAAATTATGTTTTAGAAGACTTTTACATGACTATCTAGTTTATGATTCAAATATTAAGTAAGTTTTTGACTCCATCCTTCACGTGTTTCCCGGAATCTGGGTTGCTGTCTAAACCCATTGTTCATCCTTCACGTGACAACTCACCTATCTTTTTTTCTGTCGTCAGTTGTGATAACTCTCTGTCTCTTTCTATCTTTTGATACTAAAACAACTAATTTTCCTTAAGAACCGGGTTACCAAATACATATTAAACTGAATATAAAACGTGGGATATTACTATTTTAGTATATTCTTGTTTACGGGCTCGATGAAGTCAAATTAATGTGAAACCAATAATAGACCGAGTTCGGATTTTCCATTTTGCTGATCCTGACAACTCAATGGTAATATATAAGTATAACCCAAAAATGGAAAAAAAGTGGCTCAACTTAATGACGAAGTAATCTTACCAATACTTGATTAAGATATAAAGATCATAATTATATGATGATCAAATATAAGTAAGGAGAACATGACGCACCGTCGAGATTTGTCCTTATTGTTATATGATTTTTTTGGACGGCATATCCTGTCCAGATCGCACTACCAATTCGTAACCATTACATCACTTTAACCTACAATATATATATATATTATATGAGTTATGGTCTACTAGTGTTTATCTTTGTCGATCTATGACTAGCTAGAGAAAGAACATTTCAACCGAACTTGAAATGAGCAAGTTATTACAAAAAAAATTACGTATCATCAAAAAAATATTTTGAAGTTAAATTAAAAGTTATATATCGTGCTAGGTATGGGTCTAACCAATGTTGTTCAGAGTATTTACATGTAGTATTTATTGGTTGCAGAAGTAGAGAATATTAAAGAACGGTATATATTTGAACTAAAGAGTATGATCGGGTTGATCCATTCTTAACGTCTTTTCCGTTTCCTTCTGAATTTGTGCTGATCACAGGTCCACAACCCTAATCAACAAATATTTATGTCTTTCATTAGGCGTGAAGCGATAGGATAATTGTTTTAGAAGTTATCACATACACATATGCAATTAGATAGAAAAAACGATAGCATTTCTTATCGTAAATTGTATGGTGTCTCTAAAGTGGGGATATATTTGGTTTTAGCGATAAGTACATGACGTAAACTAATAACTTTTGTGTTTAAGAAAATATTTGTGTTCAAAACGAATAACTATTTATGTCTATAGATTCGTCTCGGTGTAATTTGTTGCAATTTTTGGATATCAAATCACTTGTTTATTATTTGTTGTAAGGCAGTACTAGTTCATCATTATTTTCCGTGCCACAAAATGAAAAGTTTGTAGCTAACTAAAATGTAGCAATGACTAAACTGCTGAAAAGGAGTAATCGTTGTGGTGTTAAGTTGTAAAAAAGGAATCGCGTGTTTCATGTGACTCTAGTTAATTTCAGTGCAAAACGTCTTAAAATTAGGACGTAGGACCTGATCACAAATCATATAATACTATATAGTTGCATTATCATCTGAATATATTTATAGACCAAATGTCCACATGGTATGACGAGTTGACAACCCGCTCTATTTGAGATATGTCACATATCACGTACTAAAGTAGCCAATTCGCATTACATTACTGCAATATTAACACGACTACGTAATATGCTGAAAATGGGAAAGTACTATTTCGCAATATATAGAAATGGAATGAAAACGTGGGAATTGCCTAAAATTACCATTGTCATCAAACCGGGGCACTTTGCTCTATATCAATATTTAAAATCCAAATAATTTTTTAAAAATGTTGATTTATATTTGTACCAAAAAACTTATCAACTTTAAAATCTATTTTAGGACTACTATTAATTAATTATATAACTATTGACTAACAATAGACTAAAATTATAGGGTCAACAAAAGTTTACGATTTAGTTTGTCACAAAAATTCAGTATTCTTTTGGTTTTTCAAATATTTCATAGTTTATTTCAACCAAATTTAAAAATTAATGATTAAATGATATTTTCTTGTTAATGGTATGATTTTGACCATGTATGTTCATGTATAGTTTTTTTTATCTTTTAAATAAGCTATATATACATGAACGCGCATGGTCAAAATCATAGCACTCGACTACTCAAGTAAAAATGAACGTTTTGCTTTTATGAAAATATATTCACATTTGAATTATAACTTCAAAAGGTATGTTTCATTTCCGTTAACTTTGCCATTTTTGGTGTATAAATACATTTATAATTTTTTAAAATAATAAGATCACTTATTTACACATATACTGGAAATGGAAATGATGGAAGGAATTGCACCATGTGTGCTGACTTTTGTAAATTGATGCTTGGTTTAGTGATATATGGGTTTTCTTTAACTTGTGGTTTACTCATATAAGTTTAATCAGTAGACTGGGTTGATTTACGACAATTTTTTGTTAAGTCGTTTAAGTTTAATCAGCTTGTTTAACGTTTACAGTTCTCTAGTTGATAGTCTTTTACAAAAGCTAATATTACATTTTGAGTTAATAATATAAAATTTATCGGGGAACTAGGGTGTTTGTAACGGAAGCAAAATTTAAAAAATGCCAGCTCCAACAAGACTTCTATAGACAAACCAAACCAAATTTTAATCATAGACTGCTATGTGTTTAATTAGAAACCATATGGCTAACCCGACAACAAAATTAGTAAACTGAATAATCGGGATTATAAAAATAAAGTAAATAATAATAAAAAGTTGAATGATTCAAACTTGATACGCGAAACATGCTAACAAGACTACAAGAGAACGTATCTTATCTTTGTGAGATCGTTAATTTGTTGATCGGATAACGAAGACAAAACTCCATAGGTAAAATGACCAGAAAAGTGGTGGTTGTGGCAGTCACTGCTGCAACGGTTGCAGCGGCTGTATTCATAGGTCGGTGGATGCGGAGGAAGGAGCGGCGGCGGAAACAGACGCAGCGTATTTTGAGGAAATTCGCTAGAGAATGCGCTACGCCGGTTTTGAAGCTATGGACGGTGGCGGATGCCATGGTCGCTGACATGACCGCCTCTCTCGCAGCCACAGCGAGTCGCGGTTCCCTCAACATGCTAGTTTCATTCGCCGGTTCCCTCCCTTCAGGGTAAAATAAATTGAAAATAATAATAATAATAATAGTCTATGTTTTAGATATTAGATGACCTAAGTAACGGTGTATTAACTTGTAGGGATGAGAAGGGAGTACATTACGGAGTTAACTTGAGAGGCAAGGAACTACTACTGTTACGTGGAACTTTAGGAGGTAACGAAGAGCCTGTTTCCGATGTACATAAGCAGGAGGTTTCAATCCCTGAGAATGTTTTAAACGGTTCTTTCAAGGTATATATATACATGGTTCCTTGGATTACAAGCTAGGTTACTTGAAACTGAAGCTTTTTTTTTGTTTTGTTTTTAGGAGTTGTGCGATTACATATCCTTAGAGCTAGTTAAATTACTTGGGATGAATCCTGGCGAGGAAACAGAAGAAATTAAGAATCTAGGGTTTACGTTGACACGCTATGTCGAGCAGATTGGGTCAGGTTCAATCTCAGCGATACAGAGAAAGAGTTTAGCAGATGATGATGATGACAAGGTTTTGAAGGAGTTTGTGAATGTTATGAATGAATCATTGGAGAGACACGGTCTGAAAATTCGGATGAAGATGGCGCTGGTAAGCAGATGATCCGCGATGAAGATTTAATCTCTGGCTAGGCTACTTTTTTGATGATGTGATGAGAATCTTGTGTTTGAGATCAGGTGGATGAGACAATAGGAGTGTTGGCTGGAGGAAGGTATTATCATAAGGACACTGTGGCTGCTGTTACTTTAGGTATGGGAACTAACGCTGTGTACATCGAACAAGCTCAAGAGGTTTTGAGATGGAAATCACAGACACCAAACGAGTCACAAGAGATTGTATGTTAAGATAATTTCCAAACACATTGAAAACACTTTAAAACCTACCATTAAGTGATTGTGCATGATACGATTGTGTAGGTTATTAGCACAGAGTGGGGTGATTTCAGATCTTGTCATCTTCCTCTAACTGAATTTGATGCTGCTCTTGATGCGGAAAGCTTGAATCCTGGAAGCAGTGTAAGAACACTTATGACTTATTGATTAGTTCTTTCTTAGGAAAAAACATGTTTTGTGTGTTTTGAGAATCTAGGTTACGTCTTTTCAAGGTATTTGAGAAGATGGTGTCTGGAGGATACTTAGGGGAGATAGTGAGACGAGTGTTGCTAAGAATGTCTGAGGAATCTGCTCTATTTGGAGATATACTGCCTCCAAAACTCAAAACTCCTTACATTTTAGGGTACCTACTTAATTATTTTGTGAGAATCTTATACAAAACTATATATTATAAAAATAATTGTGACATAATGCAAGACTTTTCCCACGTGTTCAGGTCGCCGGATATGGCTGCCATGCATCAAGATATATCTGAAGACCGTGAGATCGTAAACAAAAAGCTCAAGGAAATTTTCGGGGTAAGTATCATAAGACTTCCTTGTATTTTTTTTTTTTTTTTTTTGCCTCTATATATCAAACGTAACATATTAGCGTATAAAGTTCTTTTTGCAATTTATAGGCGCAATCTCTAAACAGAAACTGATGAAAAAATTAAAATGTGTAACTATATTAATTGAAACCAAAACAAGGACACTAACGCAAGCAATTGTATCGAAAGAAGCAATACTTGAATATTTTTGTGTGAACTACTCGCATATGTATATAACATGCAGATCATGGATTCAACTCTTGCGGCGAGAGAAATGGTGGTTGAAGTGTGCGATGTGGTGGCGGAAAGAGCGGCACGCGTGGCAGGAGCAGGAATAGTTGGGATGATAAAGAAGCTGGGAAGGTTAGAGAAGAAGATGAGCATTGTGATAGTTGAAGGAGGATTGTATGATCATTACAGGGTCTTTAGAAACTATCTTCATAGCAGTGTTTGGGAAATGCTCGGCGACGAGTTTTCAGATCATGTCGTCATTGAACATTCTCACGGTGGATCTGGTGCCGGAGCTCTTTTCTTTGCCGCTTGCTGTAACGCTAAAATCTTGATGTGAAAAAGACAACTACAGCTAATATTTTGTTATTCAAAACCATAATTTTTTTTTTTCAAATTTCAATACCATAATTCTGTTTAATGTTGTCTTCTAATTATTATTATTTTTGATATATGTTTTATTTATTTGCAAGATAGACTAAAAAAGTTGTTGTTTTAGTGTTTCTCCCTTGGTTAACCGGATGGCCCATTTACAAAGAATTTAGGGGTAAGATTTTTTGTCACAGAAAAGTAAGAAAAAAAACGTACATGCCTAGATGATTGTGACTTTATAGAAAGCTACTAACAATTCTCTAAAATAAGGTTCAGTGTGTACTTCTTTCTAACATCATTGCCGAATAACTCCTAAATCTCCTCATCTGCTGACCAAAACTACCTCCTAAAAAAATCTCTGACTAATTTGTCTGTTAAAATCATATTATATTCTCTATAAGAGATTGTATATATGCTAAAGCTAGCTTAACAAATACATTCAAATCATCTTTTGCTCTTCTTTTGAGAAGATTTCTCATTACAAAAAGTTGAAATATATATGAAAATGTAAGAAAACAGAAAAATCTAAGTTATTAATCTTAAGATATGAAACATAATGAAGTTAACATTGCTAAAAAAAATTGAAAGTCAAACTTGATTCAGAAAAACTTAGTAATAAATAAATAAAAAACAGAGAAGAAAAATGCAAATTGAAGGGCTCATAGAATATATGAGTTGTGTTCCAATAATAGCTCGGCCTTCATTTTGAAACTTTTCATTATCAATCGAACCGTCAATTAAATTATAGAGGCATCCATGAACATGTACTTCAACTTTATCAGTGAGGAAAAGAAGTATTGTTTAAATTTAAACCTATTAATATTCCTTAGAAGCTGAGCCATCATTCTTTATCAGTAAGGAAATGTAACATTGAGTAAGTTTTATATTCTCATACTGAATGGGAGTAGTTTTCGGTCATATTAAGCTTACTAACAGCATCTTCATGCTGGCCATATACCAGATTCTTCAGGATGTGTTGATGAGCAAAGGTACAAAAATTGTACACTTTAAAAACAAAATCATGAACTTAAAAACATTTTTGTTCAAGAACAACAGTGACACACAACATAAAACAAAAGACAACTTACACAAACGGATATTGATAATACAAAAGATAATACGAAGATAGTGAACAAAGATAACACTCATTAACACAAACCATTACTAAACACTAATATTTTAATTGATAGGAACTCCTCCGTTTATCATAACCACTTTATCATTCTTAGGATCACCTGAAGTCCACACCCAAGCATGATTTGCTCATTTTTTAATCTCTTTACTCTCCTCTTTTAGAAAATCCAACATCATATTTTGACGAATATATCAACATATTCATCACAATACATGTTTAAACACTTTCATGACGACCAGAATGTCAACAGTGTATGTGGTTCTCTCTATTCGCTTTATCCCACACTGCAATTACTTTCTTTGAGGTCATGATTTACATTATTTTAGTTGAGTCACTCAAAGGATATTTTTTAAAATGTAAATTATAAGATATAGTCTAGCAATATATCTATATTTTTATCATAATTTATCTATATATTTTTTAATATTCTTAAATTTTCCTTATTTTTTTCTTATATTTTTCTTTTTTATTCTTAATAAAACGTCAGTAAAGTAACTGTGAAATTACATATTTTTGACCAATGATCAAGGCTAAAAATATATGGTCTTGGGAGGGACTTTGATGATGATGCTAGTGCCCACTCTGTTGTGACCAAAGTAGAAAAAATGAAATTGGGAGTATAATAGTGGAATGAATCAGCCCAGATAACATAAAGCCCAATGGGCTTTCAAGTAATGTTAGTTTTAGGGTCAACCTATACTGAGTCGCATTGTTCCTTTCACAATCCGGAGGAATGGCGACGGCGATTGTACGTTCAGCTCTTTCCCGAGCAGCGATCAGCGCATCTCCGAGGACATCCCTTGCCCCCAAGCGAAGATTCTCATCTTCTGCCGGCCATGACGATGCCTGTAATCTTCTCTTCCTCTTTCTGTTTCCACCATTTGAAATACGAACTAGGGTTTTCTTTAAGATTCGTCTCGATTTCACTCAATAATGACGATTTGGTAGATTACCCAGTTCTGATTATTATATAAGATTCAAAAAGTTGGAAACTTTTTCTAGACTATGTGAATCAGTTTCTCGGAATCAATTTATTTGACCAAAGTGTTGATTTTTTTTACAGTTGAAGCAGCAAAGTGGGAGAAGATAACATATTTGGGGATTGTTAGTTGCACTGCTCTTGCCGCCTATGTTTTATCAAAGGGTCATCACCACGGCGAAGACCCTCCTGTAAGCGTAACACTTGTACTAGATGATGATGATATTTAATAAACAACCTATGTCTTATCTCATTCACATTCTGTTTTCTTTGTTAACAGGCCTATCCTTATATGCACATCCGTAACAAGGAGTTTCCATGGGGTATACTATGTAACTTTTGATTATATTGTTTTAGATGTGACAAAGAATGTCTCTTTTTTTTATCATGGGTTCTCCTAAAAGAAAAACCTTTTATGTCTGTAAATGTCTTGGTTCTTAGTTTCTGTAATTTACTCTGTTCTGTTCTTTTGCTGTTATCAGGTCCAGACGGTCTGTTCGAGGTGAAGCACAATGAAGGGCATTGAAATGTTTTGTCTTTACAAAAACTTCTTCTTTGTTCACTTGATAGGCTGAATGCTTATTTGTCTTTGAATTATAACTTTTGTCAGCTATTTGATACTCCAATCTCATTTCATGTGTTTGGAAATAAGAATACTCCTTTTGTATTGGTATCATCAGACACTTGTGTTTTTCCTCAAATCTCTTGTGATTCAATCTCGATAAAATAAGATATTGACACGGAACTAGTAGTACGAGTATGCTATATATTGATTAAGAATCACTAACTGGGAAATAATTCCTCAGACATGAAAGTATTTAGAGCATGTAGACAATACATGACAACTTTTATTCAAAAACATCTCACAGGAAGATTTTCAGATCTGTTAATATTGAGGAACACTATTTTCCAATAGTGGACTTGATATGTTCTTGATCCTTGTGGGACTCGTCTGTGTGAGTAATTTAGTAAATTGTAACTCTTTATCCGACTCTGTTTTCAAGTGTCATCCCTCTGCTTCCTTCATATCAGAATCTTATTTGCTTTGCTGGTTGCCAGATTCACTCTTGCTTTCATCAGTATCTTTGCCTCAATTTTCTTCTCACAGTTGATGTAATTCTTCTCTGTAGCTTTTTCCAAATTATTTTGAAAAACAACTATAGAAAATTTTGAAGATTTACTCTTGTGGTCTATCACAAGAATTAACCATAACCAGACTGTGTAACTCATTTATTACATAGATTTTTAAAAACTTATAACCATAGGAAGTAAACACACAGGACCAGAACAAATTGCACTGCAAGTTTCAGCTCGTATTGACGCTTCTATGCAACGACTCTTCGTCAAGCCGTAATGGTCCCCATCAAAGTTCCCTTACAAGTTACAACGACCTAATTTAATTGCGTCACTCACGCAAATGTCTAGTTTTTTTCATGTATTTAAGATTCAACATTAATTTGTATTTTACATCATTATTTTATCCGATTAAAAATCGAAGGTCAAGAAGTTGTCCGAGATTAAACAAAATATAATGCTGAATAACATTTTCTGATCCGTAATACTGTTTTTAATGGATCAACTGATCTAACCAAATTATTCATATATTTTATTATAAATTTAAAGATTTTTCATGTTACAGTGATAGTACTTGAGGGCCTGAGGCATGCAGGTGTTATTTGCTCCATCTAACAGCTAATTATAAAACCCTTCATATAGCTCCTTTCAAAATTCCCAACCCATGAAAGCAGCCATGTACGTACTCATTGAGTATATCTCGTACTTTTCATACATATAACAGCAGATAGACCAATCAAATATTATCACATTGTTGGATCAGTTGAGCTATGCTGTGATGATATAGTTTGTACAAATGTTATGATGGAGGTTATATCGTAACTTCCATGTGTTATCATGGTGTGCTCATATATCAAATTAACCACTGGTGGGTCAACTAATGTAAAACGTGGGAATTAATCAATGAATTGGCGCGTATACATATAAACCAGCAATCCTTTAACAAAGAAACAAAAGCATTGATGAAAAAGAAAAGCATTATTTATATACGTAAAAACCAACTGCATATAAACATTTGAGATGTTGACAAAAGAAGACACATTTGAGATGTGTTTGCTACTGGGTGTGCATATTCATATCCGAATTAAAAACCAAATCTATATTGGACCATTGGAATCTCCTCCACTTTTTCCTGTAAGATTTGTCTTCAACTTTTGAAAAGAATTATTCTCTGCATTATTTGAATAAATTTTGTCTAGATTACAAATATGATATAATGATATTAGTATAAATATATATGTTAATGCTTAAATGAAATTTCTGTGCTGTAAAAGAAATATATATGCTGCAATTTTTTTTTACTTTATCCTGTAAACTACTGGATTTAAATCCGGAAATATATTGTATCAAAAAAAAACCCGGATATATATGGTACGTATCAGATCGACAATATCGTGGGTTCGTAACAGAATCAGTAGTAACTCTGCCTAACTTTTATGTAATGATGAAATATGGTTGACCATTCATTTATATTATTTGAAGTAATGAAATATTATACTCATCATGTTGTCCAAAAAAAAAAAAAAAAAAATTATACTCATCATCTCGTATACGATCTCATATATTACTTCTACGCACGTGGAAGCAATAACCATCTGATATATTATGATGATCCAAGGCCTGTGTCGTACAAGAACAATAAATTAGGTATGGAGCAATTGGACGTCAAAATAGATCATTGAAACAAAGAGAGTGATTATGGATATGTCCAAAGTGCCTCCACGTGACTGTACCTTGTCAACTGTGTGCTTTAACGAAACAAAAAAAAAACGATTTTCTCTCCAATGGCTAAATATCTAAGCCTTTTTTTTATTGCATCCATAGTTCCAAGGAAGTGATGCAACAGAGAAGAGATCAAAAACAGTTAAACAAACGGTAAGAAACAGAAACAAAAAGAGATGGGAATGAATGGCCATAATAATTTATGCTTTGGAACTCTCATTTTTTCTTCTTCTGTCTCTTCTTTCGTGTCATTTCATTTTGTCACTTTGGGTTCATCGATCGTGCGACAATGAGCACTCAATCGTTTATGAACAAATAGTAGCATTTTCTCAAAAATATAAAACATATCATGGGATGGGGAGGTAGTATTTTGAAATCTGTCGGCGGTGTACCCATATTAGCAAAAATGATCTAAGAATGTCATATAACCGAACCAAACAGCGAGAAATATTACAAAATGTGTTAATAAGATCGAGTCATCGAACCAAGCATAACACAGTACTCTCTATCGAGTTTTGGATGATATGCCCATACTAGGATAACGTGTATTATAGTTTTGCATGTTAAAGGAACTCATCATGAAGATATCATACTATATTAAATATCTCGAGCGGCGTAGTCGTTGCGAAGATTAGTTAAATCGGTAGCACTGTGGCAGCGTATACTGACTCTGATTGACACAATGGGTCTCCACCCAATTCCAAGTATTTTTACTTATTATTCTACTATTGAGCTGCACTATTAAGTAATAAATGGAATGAAAACAAACAAAAAAATGAAGTAAAGTCATTCAAAGGAAAAACAGTAGAGAGATTCAAGACTGTTTGCTTTGCTTGATTTGTGAAATTGGTAAACCCCACAGAAACAAACACACATCTTATCCTTTTGTTTTGTCACTTCCCTTCTTCTTTCCACATGATCAATCCCATCATCTCACACTCTTCAATTTTCTTTATGAATGATAGTGTTTGTCCCAATCTCATTTTAACTTCTACATGTTTAGGTATACATTCCAGATGTTAAATCTGGACTACAACGAAAACATGCTATACTAATGGGCTAATGGCCTATAAGTAGAAAATTTGATCATTGTCTTAAAAGTAGATATAATACAACATCGTTTTGTAATATAGATGCTGATTGTCTTTGTAGTATGTTTCAGTCTACAAACTATGGTATATAGTCATGTCACTGTACATTTATCGCAATTTATATTTAGCTTTCTTGCACTGTTCAATTAGTCAAGATATAACTTATTTAGCTTTTTTGTTCGGTTTTTCTTTTTTTTTCTTTGAATATTTCATTCAGGGAAATAAATTAAATAAATTACCAGCGGTTACTAAAAAATTACCAGTGGTCACTAGTAATTTAAAGGATCCTTTGAAGTATTGAAACAAGTACTAGATCGCAGAAAAGTACCAGTAGTCACTTAATAAACTAATCCTTCTGATAAAAAGTACAACCCAAAATCCAATGTGTGATGACATAATCGTTAAACGGCGACGTTCGACGGCAGCAAAACAGCTGATTATTTGTCCGTCATCTATGGAACTTTTTAATATATTCTTATTTTCTTTTTCAATATTTTGACATCATCTATAGACTATAGATATGTGTCAAATTTATCTTTGTATGTTTATCAACTTAACAAAAAATGAGAATGAACCAACAATATTTCCTTTTTCTTATCAACTGATTATTGAATTAAGCCCTTAATAATAAAAGATGAAACCAATAATATTTCCAAACATATAACTGTTACACAAAAAAAGATTCCAAACATAAAGCTCATACGAATATATATACACATGTATAATGTATTTACGTTGATGCATACGTACGTGTGTGATGTAACTTTCATCCATAAAATTGGTATTTGTCAGAATCGTCTTGAAAATAGGTTTCCGTGCGTTCTGTTTACGATGCGTGTTCGTCTAATCATATTTCCTTTCTTTACTTTTCTCTAGATTTTAATTATCTATAATAAAAATAAATCATTTTGCATAACACAAGTTTTATTGATCTCTGTTATTTGTTAACTACACTATAATAAACAACATCATCAGAATCAAAATAAACGCAGAAATTTTTAGAAACTCTGAAGATTACAACTAAAGCATATATATGTACACAGATTTTAGGATTTGAACCAAAAAAGCAAAGAAATATAATGTGTTGATCAGAAGTAAGAAATTTCTTTAAGGGTTATAGATGGAGTTACCACATTTGCATTTCCAGCTCATTGGTTTATAGTTAGTACTGTCGTCTCCTCTGGTGTAATCAAGATTAATAATCTCAGAGGAAGAAGGATAGTGATGAAGCTTTGTTTGAGGATTCGTAGGAACTTGTATTGCTTCACAGTGTCCACACGAACGACATCTCACTCTCTCACATCTTGGTGGACTTGATCCTATCAAACCTCTCATCATCATCTTCTGGTCTTGATCACCTCCCTGTCCAAAATTAGTGACAATTTCAAAACCAGTTTAATTGGTAGAAAAATAAAATAGAGGTCGAAGAACTTTACATCAGTGGTTTCATGCGAGTTTGGCTCTGGTCTACCTAATAATGTCATAAGAAGTAAAAGAAGAATTAAGATTTCGGAAAATTTTGTTTGAAAATATGGAAATGTGACATTGACCCATTTACCATTAGCCATTAGACTGAAATGGGTTGAATTAAGAATCAGCAAAATCAGTAGACAGCTTGACATTTTGCTGCACAACGCCATTTTCAGACACAAGGTCGGCTTTCAGTTTACAGGAGAAACAATTGGACTTTCTCTCACTTCTCTCTCTCTGCGTCTTGATTTGTTGAGGAAAAATTTTGTGAGTAGAGGAGTAAAGGGAGAATGACTATCCTTTGAAGGGCAAATAAAATTTTCCTAATCCATATTATACGCACGGACATATATGCACGTAAGCGTTGTATATGACTTGACATGATATATATATAATATCTTTATGTGAATATTATTTATACATTTTGTGTCATCACATCATCAAAGATATGTATAGAGAATATTTGAAGAAGAAAAATACAAAATATACTGGGACCTCCATACTTTATACACTGTTAAATTATGATGTATAGCTTAATGGGAGTCAGATTCTATTAAATGTGTATGTATAGCTTGATACGTAAGGCTACAAGTTTCCGATAAAACAAGAGTCAGGTGAAAAAAAAGAGAAAATTAAGTAGGTAGTATAAAAGAGCAGGATGAATAATCAATTTCTACGTAAAAAGAACAGTTAAAATATCAAATACTTTTTTGACTAAAAAGTATCATATACTACAAAGACTGAATACATAAGAAAGCCAAAATTATAAAATCGAAGACGACAAAATAGATAGTAAAATTAGTATAGAAGAGAGACCATAGAAACCCCAAAAGTAAACAAGAAAATAAAAGGATAAAGTAAAAAAGACAAGAAATTTAAAGGAATTTGGTTGTATTCTTTGTAAACTCTAAAAAATATTCAGGGTTTTTACCAAGAACTGACATTCTATTAATTACTTTATATAATATAAATTTCTTTTCACTATTTTTATAACAATTTAAAATTTGATTTGGTTTTTGAGTTCTGGCTTCTGCGGTTTCTTGTGGTAATAGACTGACTGGAGCAGTAAAAGGACCCACTTCACCTGACCGGCCTATACAGTGCGTCCTTGCCTTTTCGTATTCTTCTCACCAAAATTCTTATATATTCATTATTTAAATAAGTTCTGACGAAAAACAAATTTATTTAAATAATATTCATATAGAATTGTCTCAACACGTCTCGCTCACTCTTCCCGATTTCCTTTTCCAATGATTAAAACAATTATATTCTCAATTGTTATGTGCAGTTTAACCGCTGTTAAACATTTTCTTTTTTAATTAAAGCTTAAACATTTAGGTGGTAGCGTAAGTATATATATATTAAGTAATCTTATGAAAACATGCACGTTTACAACCAAGAAATAAAAACTCAAACCCTGACAGTAATTTATAGATCCAATATTTTTGTCATGTTTTCCAAATTTACTTGAATTTGAAAAGAAATCTAGTTTCAGCATATTTAAGAAAAAATGTTGGACTAGATAATTTACGACCCTACCATTTTCGTGGGCTGGGTATTCTACTACAACAATCAAAATACTAGCCAGTTCGTATCCAGGTTGGGCTAGGTAATTATTATAGGAATTAGCCACTAGACTAATCACTGCAGCCCAAATGTATACAAAGAATGACATATTTTCAATCGACCATATCTTAACCATGTAATGGGCCTTTTATCGGCATGTTTCCAATTTATAGAGACCAAATAGATTGGGCAATCCACAATAGCCATGCAATTTATACAGTAAAAAAAAGGCTATTCCCACAATGCTCCCAACCATTTTAGTTAAATTTATACTCTTCAGCTTTTGTTGGCTAAGGCCTTTGGGACTCAATTTGTCTTTAGATAATCTGATGCTCAAAAAGCAAAAATAAAAATTTAGTTGTATGTCAAAACTAATACTAGGAGGCTTTCCTTCCAGAACATCGGATTACTGGTTAGGTTATGTCAAACTGTAATAATTATTTTTTTCCGACTCAAGTTCAAATCAATTTGTTGTATGTTATGTTACTATTTCGAACCAGCAGATTGTCCCGCTAATCCAATGAATTGGTGGGAAGGTAGTGCGTACCACCAGACCCAATCTATGTAAGTAGCCGTAAAATTATGAAGCTGGATCTGGATTCTGAGAAGTTGGGTCAAATATGGAATACCATGTAAAGCAGCAACACCTCTCTACATGAGCCCATCAACACATTCCGTTTCAACCAAGTCTCTTTTTTGTGTGTTAAAGGTTCAAGCAAGTCTCTCATCTTGATATCTGTCGGGAAAGGCAACACCAATGAGGATGGCAAAATATGATGAACGTGATGACAAAAGTATGATGGTAATTAGTGGTTATGATCAAATGAGATCATGGAAATCACGAGTAGCTACAAAATAGGGTTTGATTTCATCAAAAAGTAAGTATTATTATGGTCCATTAGAGATAATTGGAATGGTCTGTGGCTCTTCTCTCTTGGACGAATTGATGAGTGGTAAGCATCTAAGCTAATGCTTTTCCTTTTCTCATTTTTTATATGCAACTTGAAGCTTCCAAAATAACAGGTTGTTTGGCTGTTTTCATCTTTTATCAAATGTTTATAACATAGTATATATATTCTATAATTAGTAAATAGGGACAAGGAAATGAAAAGTGATGATGTAATTTGATACATAAACTGTATTGCAACAGCTCACAACTGTATGGAAGTTGGGACAGTATGTAGATTTGTAGAAACCTTTACCTTCACCGTCCCTTTTCTTCCTTTTATTTCTTAGTTGCTGTTAATCTTAAACTCATTGTGAATAACCTAAATGTAGTGTTAAGAAAGCGGTCTAGGCGACACCTATACGGCGTTTAAGCACTAGACTTATTTCATGACGATTTCCAATTCTCAAATTGCCTAGACAATGACAATATTGTAATAATATATAGTTTATTATTCATAAATTATAATAATAATATTTTATAATATAGAATCTTATTAAAATAAATGATATAAATTTTATCATTTGAAAATAATGATATTTAACATAAAACATTACATATATTTAGTATATTGTATAATTTATAAACGTCTAACCATCTAACTAATTATATAGGCTTCATTTTGTTGTTCTAGACGTTGAGTCACCACTTGCTTAACATCTACGTTTTTTTTGACTGATTCCATTAAACCGTTTCCTATCCATATTTTGAAGAAATCTATTAGAGTCCCACATTGAATACTGAAATATTTGATTAATATATGTGATGTGATAATTTTTCACTTTATAACATTTTTTGGATGTGAGTTATGCCAATTACTAATAGAGTTTAAATTAAAAAAAAAAAAAATAGAACACCAAGAGCATCAGTTTAGTGTCACTGCTTTTTCCTAGTTTTCATTTCCTTGTAGTTGTATATTCTAGATTTCAGTACAGTTTGAATTTTTGATAAATAATGACCAAAATAAAACGGTCTTCAATGATACTAGATAAATCATGTAAGAAAGTATGTATGCCAAAAAAAAGGGGGGGAAAATCGCATAAAAAACCTTCAAAGTGGCATTAACTGACACTTTAAACCTTGAAGTTATTTAACTAGCATATTAAACCTTCAAGTTGGCTTCGGTACCATTAAAAACCTCCAACTTGGCTTATTTGTTCACCGAACCAAAAATGTAATTTGTTTACCGGTAAAGAAGGTGACCTATCAATTTTTTTTAAAAAAATAATTTATTTAATTAATAAAAATAATTAAGAAAAAAGAAATTCAAAAATTAATTAAATTAAAAATTAATCTTTTAAAATAAAAACATTTTATTTAAAATAAAATTCTTATATAAACATAAAATAACTAACAAAATTAAAAAAAAATACTAAAATAAATTTGAACAACATTTATTTTTAAATCAAAATATTTTCTTAAAAATGAAAAGATTTTTTAGTTAAAGAGTTAAATAAAAACTTGAAAATTTTCTGGAAAATCTAAAAATCAAATTATAGTTATAAAATGAATTTTTAAATTTTTAAATAAAAGAGAAATAAAAAGTTTCAAATTTTCTGGAAAGCTCTAAAAAATCAAATAATAGCTATAAAAGTTTCTAAAAAATAATTTTGAACATATCACCATTAATATTTAAAAATATTTCATCATATCGCTGATAAAAATGGCATTAGTAACTATTATTATTGATATGTAAAAAACCATCATATTCTTTATTTGACTTTCAAATAATTTTTAAATATTTTTAAACAATTAAAAAAAAAATATTTTAAGAAAAAAATTGTTTTAATAAGATTGAATTTTTAATTCCAATTAATTTCAAATTTTTAATCATTTTTATGTTTCGATTTATTTTTAGTTACTTTTATTAAATAAATAAATTATCTTTACTAATTCATTTTTATGTTTCGATTTATTTTTATTTACTTTTATTAATTAAATAAATTATCTTTAAAAAATTGACATGTCATCTTCTTTATAGGTAAACAAGTTATATTTTTGGTTCGATGAACAAATAAACCAAGTTGGAGGTTTTTTATGCTACCGAAGCCAACTTGAAGGTTTAATATGCTAGTTAAATAACTTCAAGGTTTATTAAACCTTCAAGGTTTAAAGTGTCAGTGAGTGCCACTCTGAAGGTTTTTTATGCGATTTTCCCAAAAAAAAAAATATGTATACCAAAATTAATATATTTTAACAAAAAGAACAAAAGGCTAGAAACAGCGTCCGGAGGAGGAGGTACAGAATCACATGTTTCTCCACATTATATGCATCAATCAATTACTTAAAAGGGTTCAAAGTTCTTTTAACATGGCACATCACAAATGATGCAAAATGGGCATATACTACCATATTTTTTTCTTTTGACTAATCATATTAATGTTATGACATGCTATGAGCCGCATCTAGTAATCCTACTATGTTCCGGTTAACAATCCCATCTCTTCTTTCTATTTTTTGGAAAATATAAACCATTTCCTCGACAATAACTATATCTATAACATCTCCAACTTACCAATCGCGTAACTTTTTTTTTTACTACCAATCGCGTAACTTTATTTTAGTGTCGCTGCTATTTACTTATTTTATTAATAAAATATATAATTAAATAAATGATAAATAAAAAATAAATACATATATTATTAAATAGTTTTAGTGTGAGTTTGGCATCATGATTGGAGAAAAAAAATTAGTGTTGAAACTAAAATATCTATTATTGAGGTTTTTACACTAAAATAGTGTTAATGCCCAATGCTTGCATTGACTTTTAGATTAGCTATTTATTAACCAACAGCATGCGGTCTATGTTAATAATTAAAGCTTTATACTAAACCATAAACCAACAAGTCATGTCAGTTAGAACGAATTATAAGCTTATCTGAAATCATTATATATATATATATATATATATATATGTGTGTGTGTGTGTGATCTGGATGATAAAAAAAAAGTGGCCACAAAAGTATAGATTACTATTTTACAATTTTTTGTTTAAATTTTACCCAAAAAAAACTGTTAGACTATTTCTGATTATTGTTGATATTTTCTTTTAGCATAAATATGCCTAGCTTAAAACTCCAAAAACATATGCTTACACTGTTGATAACTTTGTTTTAGATGTGCGGATGCCAGAAAAAATTACAAGGTCTAGTAAATAAGATCATGATGGGTAGTTCCTTACCTCTTTAAAATTAAACAATTTACATAATAGTCGTATATGTACCATTGTTGCTTGTATGATATATGTAAGGTTAATTGAAATTTATTCGGCGTCATCTACCAACCTTTCAATAAACTCGCGCAATGCCTCTCTGGACATCCTCAGCAACCAATGTTGATTAGCTTTAAACTTTTATCGTCTTATTATCCATCAATATATAATTTTGCCACGTTGAATGATAATCTTTCTATGGCAAATTTATTAACTGCAGTGAAGTTATATTCCATCAGTTTCAAATATATAGCCTCATTTTAGCTTTTATTTTTTTGTATCATAAAGTGTTATTTTAATTCAGATTTAAAACAAAATTTCTAGTTTATCACTATTATTTTAGATTTACTAGTAAACATGACAAATTATGCATTCTATATAACGGCTAATCGGCTATGTTGCACAAATCATTTTTCTTTTTGTAATTCGTGTGACTAAACAACATTTACGCTGAATTGGATGCTATATAGGACTAAGGTGTTTCGGGACGACTGAAAATTAATGAAGAACTTCTTACGGCCACCATTAGGTACTACTTAAAATCAAACTAAATAATTGGTTAACCTATTACAAAATAAAGCAAAAGGATATATACTATTATATTGATGATATTGGTAAGATAAAGCGTATAAAGCTTAGCTATGACACCGTAGTTGTTATCCTAACTTGTGTTTTCAATATCAAATTTAGCAACCTAATTAAAATTCAGGAAAGTTAAAATACTACTATTTTGGAGTCTTCTACCAAAATCAAGTATCATACTTGATTAAAAAGAGGGGTACATATTCAAACTAAAAAGCCGGAACACGAGTTCGACAAACCGACAATTTAACAACCACTAGACGCCTGTCTTTTGCCAATTCTTAATACACTAATTACGTTCGTGCACACGTAAGGCAAATCTCTCAATCACGCCAAATAATTAGTCACCGACTCACCTGCATAAGTATAGTTAATAACACATGATACTAATCTTAATACACACTCATATCATAATAAAATACATGCCCTCAATGACCACGTATATTTGAAAATTGATTAATTATCACTATGCATGTAGATTGTAGACGCACACGTATGATTAAAAGTTGATGGGATGGAACAAATCATCTATAGGAAATGATTAAGTAGATAAGTTGGGGGGTTTAACCATATTTTGCGGTAAAACAGAATTAACAGTTACGGCAAAATATAAATAGAACTTAAGAATAACGGTAGATAAGGTTATGAACAGAAAAACATGATTTTTAATTTTTTACTTATTATTATTTTTTCATATAAAAAAATATTAACCATTCGAAGATCGTCACGTGTCGTGAAACCCACGAAACATGCAAAAGATTCACTAAAAAATTATTTAAAATTTTTAAAAATTAAATATTTAACTTTTAGTAAAATCTATTAATTTTTAAAATTTTTTTTAAAGACTAATTTTTAAAGATCTCCGTTGGAGATGCTGTTGGAGTGTTTCACATGAGACGTATATATTTGCTGTGAAGTTTTGTTATCCAAGTCTGGTATTTTTGTTTTCTATATTTGTAATTTATGGATTATATTTGACTACATTTATGAACACGTTTCTGCATTGTGTGTATTGGCTCCTCTAATTTTTCAGTGTTGTTGTTTAAGATTTCTTTTATACATGATTATTATTGTTATTATTGGTTGGATAAATTAGCGTAAGTTTAAGGAGATGTATCATTACATGTGAGCTAACCTCCTAGCCCCACACCTTTTATCTCCCTCACTTAAAATCATTCACACCCATCAAATGATAAAAAAAAATGTTGTGGAGCCAAATAAATGTGTAAATTAAAAATGTTAATCTAATATACTAACTAGATTTAAGTTATCAAAATAGTAACATTCTGATTCAGCGGGGAATTGGTTGGCATATCAAATTAACTAACCTTCTTCATCCCCCTTTTTTTTCCTCTTCATCCCCTTTTTACTACCTTTACCTTCTTCTTTTTTTCTTAATCACCACATTTACCTTCTATAAGTTTTGAGATTCTCAGTCTTATATTCTTTATAGTTATATTTTTGTTGAAATTGATTTCAATCTTTTATTCTGTTGAAAAATGATTTCAATCAATTATATATCCATTTTTGGGTTCTACGGTTGAAAACAAAACCAAGTTGGCACCAGTGCCTCAATTAGAAGAACAACCAGTAAAGGACAATGGACCATCGGAAACTTTGTAATTACTAAATCTCAGGATAGTCTTTCAACTATATACACGATCATCCTGTTAAAAGAATCGATAAAGGAACGCTTAGAAAACCTTCTTTAAAAAGGAGCAAAAGCGAATATGTTTAGTAGCTAGTTTACATCGCCGTACGTGTGAACCAAAATTGTAACCCATAACTATTCACAAGCTTATAATAGAAATCTAATAAATCAATATTATATTCGCATGAACAAACAATCATTTGTTAAGGAAGACGAAATAAATCATTGTAAAACTGTAATTTTTTAATAAATACAATATTCATGTTTTTTACAAGCAAAATTACATCATAATTAATTATATATGTGAAGAAAAGAACAAAGAAGATGGATTATTAGTAAGTACTATAATATTATCTTCCTTTTCTCTACAAATTGCAAACTATTTTTTTCTTCGTCAGCCAACAATCCCACCGAAAAATAAAGTGGGATCGTTGAAGAGTCTTCTTGTCTATAAAGACTATACCCATTTTACCCAATTTTTAACCTAAGACTTTTCCCCTGGGAATTACCTTCTAATTAACTTCTAAATGGATATTTATAAAAATCATAAACAAATTAATAAGCAATTAACAAGCTGCAGAAGAATTAGTGAAATGGCTGTAGAAACGAGGCTTTGTGACGATGGAGAAAGCTCCCTTCCCCGTTTCTCCATCAACCGCCACCGTACCTCCGCCTCCTCCTCCAGCACCACCACCGCTGAGTCTCTCACAAGAAGGGCACATAGACAAAGTCGCCGGCGGCATATGCATGTAAAACGGTTGAGACATTTTTAAAGCCTTAAGATCTTGAAGCTCTTTTTGGAGCCTTCTATTCTCATCCGTTAAAGTCTCACAACATTTCTTTAAAAACTCACAATCCACTTCTGTCTGCTTTAGTTTTGTCCTGTCCAGTTTGAATTTAAATAAAAATGAATAACAAAAAGTAATACATGGACTAGAAATTTCTTGAATTTTAATCAATTTTATTTACCTAGCTCTCCTGTTTTGGAACCACACTTCAACTTGCCTGGGCCTTAGATTCAGCTGTCTTGCAAGAACTTGTTTTTGCTTCTGTCAATTTTTAAGAAACCTCATCAAGATATGATCAACGTAAATAAGAAAAAATAATTAGATTAATTAAAGAGAATAAATAAAAATATATATCATACGGGATTAAGAGTGCTATGAGCTTTGAAGCTTTCTTCAAGAAGAGCGGATTGTTGTTTAGTGAGTCTAAGCTTTTTACGAGCACTAACACCTTCTTCGTCATCATGATCATAACTCACTCTCGAACACACCACTCTCTCCGTCATCTCCTCCGCCTCTTCTTCGCCATCACCACAGAAAATTTCTCTCTCTCTCTTTACCCTTCCGCTCGAGAAAGATGAGATTCCGCTGTGAGATGAAGTCTGCCGAAAAATCTGGTCTCCGGCGCCGGCATCGGTCATCTCAACCGTCTTGGTCTTGTAGCTCTCACCGGAGAGGCTTAGGGTCAACGACGGATCGAAGTGGTGCTCAACGGTAGTGGAAGATTTCTTGATAGTATGATTGTAATTATTAGTTGTTGGTGAGAGGCCTAAACCAAGAACAAGACCTGTGTTGCAAGAATCGTCAAGATCCATTTGAAGGAGATTAAATGATCTTTGAACTTTCTCTTCTTATAACCAAAGCTTTTTTTTTTTTTTTTGTCAAGAAATTATTTTGGTGAAGTTTGAAAGATAAATGGAACTAAATGAAACGAAGAGGGTTCTCCTTTAAGAAGGAGAAGAGAGGGGTCTTTTTGGGTTTTTGTTTTAGTATTTTTATAGGTGGGTGGGTGGCTAATAATTATAATTACTCAAAAGGAAAGTGGATTTCATTTTGCTTAGGTTATTTTCAGTACTATTTTTGAAAAATAAATGTGGAACTTATGATGGCATAGTTCTCTACCTTTTTATTTTCTCACTTACAAAGGTTGACCAATGAGCATCCCAGTTACAAGTTGCAACTATTCTTCCGACTTCAGAAATTCGTATATTAATCGTATCAAATTATATCCTTATGGATATTTTTCACATATTCTTACAAACGTGGTTCAGAAATAAATATTATTTTAAACCGAATATATTTAGGCAATACATTGATTAATCTTCATTCTCATACCTGTTATGTGAATTGTATAATGTAATACTACCCTAATTTTATTTAGTCAACAAAATTATACCCTTATTGTCCTTTTCAATCCGAAAAGTGTAATCCAAAGAAGGGAAAATAGCATTTTTTGTCGGTACGTACGTAGCCAATGAAACCTAATTATGATCTTTAATATCCAGATGATTTCTCCACTTCCAAAATTTTTAATTAGAATTGATTAGTAAGTTAAAGCGATTAGAGAAAAAGGTAAATATTCTTCACATATGCCATATGGGTAACATGTCAGCTTGCCTATCAGTCTTCAACCGCCTCACACTACACATTGGCCCTTTGATTTCTTTTAGTTTCTTGAATTATTTATTTAGTTTGAATTTTGGATTGTGGATTGTGATCTCCACTTTCTCGTTTTAGGTTCGGTTCTCTTGATCTGGCCAGATTGTGTTGGGACTTTTTTTTTGTGCATCTTGTTCGGACTTAATTATCCAATGATTTCTACAAATATTTTTTTAATTCCACTGTGTTCTAAAATAATTTGCTGTTATTATGCCTTATTCATAACAGTATTTCGAACAGAAAAATTGTTGAAATAATTAAGTGTTGTTTAATTATATTCATAAGTACAACATTTCTATCTTTGCATGTCTTTTTCGTAGAGTTGGCTATGGAAACCACGGATTGGTTTAAGTTACATAGCATAAAATTATTCTTATAAAACATATATTCAGAAAAGAATTTTGTGAATTCCTTCTAAGATGAAATAATTTTTTAATAACTAAACGGTGGTATATATTTTATCAGTATGTAGCTAAAGCTATAAATCAATTTTAAATGGGATGTTAGCTTAAGTTCATAGACGAATGATTAATATAATGAATGAAAATTAAAGGGAGAACTGAAAATAATGGTGGTGGAGGAATACGATTCGTCATATACAATTAGTAAAATATTTTTTAGGAACTTGACTAAGAAATTTGACGAGGATTTTTATTTGTACGACTTAGCTCTAACCAAAATAAGTTAGGTATAACTCAGAGTGTTCCAAATCTTTGTTTTTGGGATCAAGTTCTTGTTTATTAAAGTTAGAATTACAGTTTTTTTAAATTCGTTTCTGATGTCTTTGGACCAATAAAATTACAATTGCAATACAAAAATCTCCCTGACTTATGATCGAAGGCTATATTTTTGTCGTTTGGAAACTGGAAAAAGTAATTGTCCTTTAGAATATTCTGAGAATGAAGATGATATATGTACGTATTCCAATTAACGAGAACTTTTAACCTTTTGAACAAGTTGCTGTTCTTTTTCAAAGAAGGGCTGCAAATAATTTAATTGCATATAAATAATAATACATAATATGAATTTAGTATAAAAATAAGTTTGATTTACATGGTATGGTATCGGTCCCCACGGCCGGACCAGTCTCAAGCGGAAAGGTGTGGCAGCGTCAATAACAGTTAACACGTCGGCAGCTATATTAGTACATTATTTAACAATTAATTAGTCTTGGTTTTATAGTTTACTTATTAAAAATGGGTGTCAGCACTGGAAAAAACCATGACTCATGATTTAAAAGATCCAGTATTTCTTTTCTCAACAGACAATATATAAATTCTCAAAGGAAGGACGAGAAGACGAATTGTATTTGGATTTTCCCAATAATCTAAATTAATGATTTAGCGATCTCCCAATACATACGGCATGACTATTTTTTGTTTTTCTCTTACTTATTTTAAATTTAAAGTGTTATCCAACTTTACTATATGGCTGATAACAAATAATCACATTATACGACAAACTGGTAGAGCATGCAGAACTCAAAGATCAGATTTATTAGTTTTTTTCTTATTAGCTTAGTATGAAATATATAGTTGAGGAATCAGTTTTGTGTGATATATCCAAAAACAAGTATTCAACTCTTAAAATTTAAATTTTATTTAAGAATAAAATAATTTTATTATTAGTGTTATCTAATATTTTCTTTCAGACTAAATATATATATATACTATGATATGGCTACCATATTTAATATACATTTAGTGAATACACTAGATTATTACAATGATTAGTTTTATTTTAGTCTCAATTTTATTAGATTAGTGAAAGGCCTGTTTGCTTCTTTTATTTGATACTTTCTAAATAGAATACCAAAATGATGTAAATGGTTTTTTTTGTCAAAACAACTTAATAAACAAAATTTACAAATAAACTACTGTGTTAGTTGGATGTACCAAACCATGAAAAACATTCATGCATATGTGTGTATACCATTATTTAAAATAAAATGCTGGCATTAAGTATATACATGATTCTAATCATATATTGGTATGTATATAAATAGATATTGACTTCAGATAAGGGTGGGGGAAATTAAACCAATCCCTACTGTGGAAAATAAATACAAAGTGTAAAAAGATGTCATATTATAAAAAATATTTTTACATATAAAAATTTATATAATGGGGGTGATTGGTTGAACTGTAGATTTAAAAATTTTACTGTAGAATTTAGACTGTAGATGTTTTTGATGTAGTTGTATCTAATGTAGCTGTAGAAATTAAATGAAAAAAAAATATAAAAGGAAAGATATTCCTATAACAATCCTACAGCAATAATTTTTTGCTTTAGAAAATAGGGTTCCTACAACCACTTTTCCAATTTTTTGACTTTAGCTTTAAAATCTACTTAAAGTATGATTGGTGATTTAAATGGTTGTAGATAGAAATTAAATCTAAAGTCATTACTTACAACCCAACCAATCACCCTCAATAACGGAATTTGTAATACCTTTTCGGATGGGTTTAAATGATTGGAAAACTGTTTAGAAAAATACTGTTTAGGAAAATAGGTTTGAACTAATCAAAACCTAAACTAACGAAAAATAAAACAAGCTTCAGCCACAACCACAACATTAACCAACAGAAAAATGCATGATTTACGTTTGTTGATCAAAATTATTAATATGAAAATTGGAATACAAGTGGGAAAGATTAGGAGATAAAATAAATAAATAGGAGAAGTTAAAGTGGTTAGGCACCATTTATCAGGCGATCACTCAGTCTTATCCATACGGCATGAGAGATAAAAAAAAAAGAAAAACCAACCAATTACGAAACTCGAAAACTGTGTGATTGTCTGTTAGGTTCGACACGTGTTAGTTCAGACATGTAGGTTCCACCAATGATTTGGTATGATAGAGTATCTAGTTCGTATTCTGCGCCCGCATTACGGCGTTTAAATATGAGTTTTGTTAACGAATGAGAGACAGAGTAAGCACACGGAGGATTAGCATCAGTTTTGTAATCAGTTTATACCGGATTAATTGGGTTTAATAGACTAACTCTATTTCTAAATAAGTACTTACTCCCTCTGTTTTTAAATAAGTGTCACTTTAACCTTTTAATTTTGTTTCAAAAAAGAGTCATTCTACAATCCCAATGTAATTTTGTACATTAAATCTATTTTTTGCCCTTTTGAATAACCAATAGTATTTTATTTAAATTATTTTTATTTAATTAAACATACATTAAATAGGGATATATTAGTCTATTATACAATTTTCTTAATTTATGTGCAAAGAGTCAAAATGACACTTATTTAAAAACAGAGGGAGTATCATTTTAACACTTTTCACGGAGATTAAGAAAATTATATATTATCTCTGTTTCATATTAAGTGTCGTTGTAAAAAAAATATTCGTTACAAAATAAGTGTCATTTTCGATTTTCAACACAAAATTTATTATGTTTTGTTTTTCTATTGGTTGAAATGTGTTTAGATGTATAGGTAATTTTATTTTTATATAGAAACATGTAAAATTAATTTTTTTTTTCAATCCGTATGTACATCTAAAATGACATTTATAATAAAATAGAGGGGAGTAATAGACTAATATATTCATATTTAATGTATAATTAATTAAATGAAAATGATGTAAATAAAAGTCTATTGGTTATTCAAAAGGGTAGAAAATAGATTTTATGTACAAAGTTATATTGGTATTATAGAATGACATTTATTTTGGAACAAAATAAAAAAAAACCTAAAGTGACACTTATTATGAAACAAAAGGAGTATGCAATATGATTTATGTCTTCCCCTCTATTATTAGTTCTCTCTTGTATAATTTGGGTTCAGTTCAATTGGTTTAATTCGGTTTTAAATTTTGTGAGAAAGGATATATAACAGATCATTCAAGACAATTTGTGTGGTCGGGGTAAATTGAGAATAACGACTTATATTTAAAATAAGATAAGATACAATCAGAGTAAATTTTATTTCATAAATTGACTATCTAAGTTTTTAGTGAGATATACATCTAAGTTAAACATATATTTTGTGTTGTGTAGACTAAAATATGAAAACTAACAAATAACTAATTGTTCTCTCTTGAGCGTTAATGGCGACTGAACAATTCGTTTCTCAGTCACAAACTCTAATCTGATCAAGGCATGATCAGTCTCTAGATGTTTTTCTATCTATTGTTCTTCTCTTTTGTTAAAAGAAGTTTGATCGACGATGGATTGTTGGGTAATTTTTTTCTTTTCCAATCCGCCATTGCAACCTTACGCATATTTTCTGTGACT